TGCATATAGCAAGCTTGTTTTTATTTTATATGTGTATTGACTTTATATGCATAAAATGTAGAGTCCTATGCCGGTGTAATACAGCTTGTTGGAATTTTGGTTGATGTCGAAATAAGTAAAAGCTTATTATTGTTATTTGCATATTGTATGTTATATTTTCCATATAATTCTCAAGAAATTGTTGGATTTGCTTTCATATTTTTTTAGCTCTTTTAGTGTGTTGATATAGAGTACTTCTTATATATCTTTTTTACTTTTCCTAATGTATTGATAATCTATCTCACCCTAGTTTTGCATATAAGAACTAATGATATTTGTATTTTTGTGTTTTTTTCTTGATATATACATAAAGGTAGAGTCATATGCTACTACAGTACAAGTTTGCTAGAATTTTGGTTGATATCGAAGTAAGTAAAAGTTGATTATTGTTAGTAAGTAAAAGTTGATTATTGTTACTTTGTTTATTTTATGCTATATTTCGATATAATTCTTACATTGTTGATATTGCATTCACATCTTGTTGGCTATTTTAGTAATAGTTATATACTAGTATTTCTTATTCACATAATTCTCTTTTCCTATTGTATTGACAATCTATCGTGTGCTCTTTAAAATTTTTACCCAGTTATTCTAATGTTATGTTTATGAAAAAAAAATTGTTTATAATAATTGAGATATTTTTCTTTGTTGCTGTTAAAAGTAGCAGTAGTTTGGAATTAATTACTGTCTTTTTTATTTCTTTTATGATTTTCTTTATTTTTTAATATGCAGACAATGCTATGTCCAACTGCATCAACCGTATTATCTACACTAACACTTGAAGCTCCAAATTCCTCAGTGAGATAGCGAAAAAGGACATTAGAAAATAAGTAATCTTCTTTGTAGTAGGTAAAAAATCAGTAATTCATACCTTGAGAAATAATACTCTACTCCTATCAATTGTTGAGCATACAAAAATCAAAATATTATCATGATCAAATAAAATCCTAATTTATTGCATCAAAAGATCAACATTCCTACAAAAACAAAACCAAGAAACTAATTACCACCAATTCCAACTATAAGAGTAAGGCATACCATCACAACATGTTTTTTTAGTATGTCGTCGTTGTATGCCATCAACGGACATCTTTTGTATGTCATTGCTTGACAACCTTGGCTTGTTCACATTGAAATCTGTTTGTGGACAAGGGGGGGGGGGGGGGAAGAGGGCCATCTTCACCTCCATGGCGACCACCATTTCTTGCATCTCTTAAAATTAAATTGTTTATAGGAGTCCAACTGCATCAACCGTATTATCTACACCAACACTTGAAGCTCCAAATTCCTCATTGCCAACACTTCAGGTATGGTTAGCTTACATATCAAATTATGATAGCTGGTGTACATTGTGTTTTTGTTTTCAGCTTTAACTTACAGGAATAGTCAAGTTAGTCTTTGACGGGCATGATTGCGAGGCTTTGGCCTAACTATGCCATTGAAGGTAACAACTTTGGTTCACTTTCACCACGAAGAAATCAACTTTTGTGCTTTTGTGTTGAGCATGGTTGGAAGCAGGTAAAAACGAACGACTGTTGACTTTTTTGCGCCTATGTAGGTAGGTTTGGATTTTTTGTCTTCGTTTCCTTTTTAATTTCTATTTTTTTGTTCTACAAGTTTGATGTAATTTAGTAATCTTCTAATTGGTAGGTTTTTTAATTGACAATTTTTTAATGTTATTGAGTGCCTTTAGGTACAGGCTTTAGCTAGTTAAACTATATTCATTTTCAAATCTCGTTGTCTCTTAAGTATCTCCATCGAAATCATCTCGAGTCCATTCCACCGCAACGTCAACATTATTTTCGTAACTCCCTCATAAAGCATAATCATCTAACCCTTGCATCATCTCCTTTCTCCATTTCAAGCCTTCCTTTGAGCACTCCTCACTGCTTCTTTTTTATCGTCTTTGTCTTTGTTCCTCATAATAATTGCAGACAGATTAGCCCTAACAATACCTTCTCCTTGGTTGATGAAGAAGACGGTAAAAGCATAGGCCGAACAGGCCCCAAAGCCCTCCGAAAATCAATTCCCTTTTGGGAAGAAATGGGCCAAGCCTAGATGGTCCACCCACCTTTAAGTCTCCATAATAATAATGGGCCCCATCCAAAGGATTTTTGGTACCACTACCCCCAAAAACTCTCAGCCTTTCTTCATGGTTCATCTTTCTCAAACCTAAGGAAACTAGACTTTGGCTTATGAACACTGATATGCAGCCTGGATGGCCCATCCACCTTTAAGTCTCCATAATAATAATGGGCCCCATCCAAAGAATTTTTGGTACCATTACCCCCAAACACACTCGGCCTTTCTTAACGGCTCATCTTTCCCAAACATAAAAAAACCCTAATTTGAATCTGGTAGATTTTTCTATTAAACTCAACATCCAACGATATCGTAAGGAAACTACACTTCGGCTTATGAAAACGGATACGCGCCTAAAAAAAATTCTCACGATTCATTGTTTGACAGTCAATTTTGATGACCACACAATTTTCCAATACATTTCCCGGTGCCATAAGTGAAACGGTAGCCCCTCCACAGCAATCCCCCCTCCTAGAAAAGATGCTTTGCTGCGAAACTTGTTGGAATCAGGACATCATTCTTGCAACTTCACCATTATTGATCCCTCCAAAGTATACTTTCAATTTCATCAACCTGTTTTCAATCTTGGCAGAAGAATATTGCCTTAATCAGTCTGAAACACATTCAACTTCACATCAAAATTCAAGACGATTGACAAAGCTCTTTGAATCTCTCTCCATGGATGAAAAAACTTTCTTTAATGTATATTAGTGCACTTTTCCATCTGTTTTCTTCTTTTTGGAATTTTTCATTAGCCACCATCTTATTGGAAGCCTTTTCTACAGGCCCATCTCCCTTCACTACTCCCTTACTTTTATTCTATAAAAACAGAGCATTTTTTTGACTATGTAAAAATCCATCCAACATTCTCCCAAATCCTCCCCAGTCCTTTCTATCATCCTCTTCATGAACAATAAAGCCCTTTCTCCTTCCATCGTTATCAACTTGGAGATTCTAACAAATTTTCCAAATAGACTATCCTCCACTTCAACGTAAACACAACTCCTTCTCTCCTCCCAATTTCCACTCTTACCATTCCAACACAAGACTTCAAAAAAACAATCGTTAACATTTGAATATTCGATTGGTTGAAACAACAGTAGAATTCAACTAGTTTGGGTGTCATGTCCTCTCAACGGCCTGCACGCCCCTGTGTTGAGGGACAAGAGGAGTGGGGAAACTTAATTCCAAAAGGGGTTTAAATTTGTCGCCTTTCATAAAGTTCAACAATGAAAGGGGATATTACATTATCTTCCTGTCAAGAGGCATCACCTTTGAGCAACACTTAGGGCTTATGAGTCTTCGTTGAATACTTGAATCATCAGAGCAAGTCTGTAAGTTCGTCTCAGACCCAAAATATACACAGTTCCTAATGTGATCTCCCATAATACAATTTTTCTTTTCTCCCTCTCTAAATCTCTCTCTCTATATAAGTACATATTTTTATATATGCCTTTATACACACTATAAATTTTTGGTTCTATAGAATCTTTGTTTTTTTTCTCTGTGATTCTGTTTTAGTTTCCTTATCTTGCAAGTGGCCAATGATCCTTAGAGTCACCATAAATTTTAATCTTTCGAGTGACTTATATGCTCTCCTTCACCCGCTTCTCCTCATCTTCTTTCTCCTTCTCCTTCCTTCTATTTCTTCTCTTTTCCTCTTGCTCTTCCTCCTTCTTCTTTTTCTTCATTCTTCTCCTCCTCCCTCCTTTTTCTTCTCTTCTCTTTTTTTTCTCTCCTGCTCCATCTCTCTCTTTTTGCTCTCTACTTCCTCTCTCATTCTTTTTATTCTTCCTCCTCTTCTATTTTCCTTCTCCTTCATCTTCTGCATCTTTTCCTTCTCTTCTATTTCTCCTTCCTCTATCTTTTGTATCTTTTCCTCTTCTATTTCTCCTTTCTCCTTCCTCCTTCATCTTCTGCATCTCTTCCTCCTTCTTCCCCGGCTTTTCCTCTCACTTCTCATCCTCCTTTTTCTCCTTCTCCTCTTGCTACGTCTCCTCCTCCTTGTTCTAGTTCCTATTCTTCTTCATTTTTCTCCTCCTTATCCTTCTCCTCCTCCCAAGGAATGTTAACTTTAAGGGGAGTTCAAATTTGTAGCCTTTCATATAGTCAGCAACTAGAAGGGGCTATTAAGTTATCTTCGGTCAACTAGAAGGGACTATCACCTCTGAGCAAATTGATGGGTGTTGATCTTTCGAGCGATTTTTCTTCTCTCCTCCTTCACATGTTTTTCCTCTCCTTCTCCCTTTCCTCATCCTTCTCTTTCTCGTCTCTCCTTTCGCTTTCTCACCTCCCTCATTTTTTCTGTCGATTTTTCTCTTTCTCCTTCTCCTCCTTTTCTTTTTCCTTCTCCCTCGTACTTCTTCCTCCTCTTCTATTTCTCCTTCCTCCATCTTCTGCATCTCTTCCTCCTCCTCCCCAGGTTTTCCTCTCACTTTTCATCCTCCTCCTCCTCTTGCTACTCCTTCTTCTTGTTCTTGTTCTTCTTCAGTCTCCTCCTCCTCCTTATCCTTCTTTTTTTCTTCCTTTTTTCCAGCCGATTTCTCTCTTTCTCCTCTCCCCGTTCTCCTGCTCCTTCTCCTTCTCCTTCTCCGCCTTCATTCTTCTTTTTTTTCTCTTCTTCCTCCTCTTCTATTTCTCCTTTTCCTTCATCTTCTACATTTCTTCCTCCTTCACTTGTTTTTCCTCTTGCTTCTCCTTCTCTTTCTTCTTGTTGGAGTTATAGAAGCCTTGGTTATTAGGGTTTATTAGAATTTTTTCTTTTTTTACCTTTTTATCCTTATTGTGACTTTTATTGGCTATATATATGGGGGCTCTACACTTAGTTTGTACCCCTTTCACTCACATCAGAGCCACCAACCCTAACTCTAAGTCTAACCCTAGCCTCCGCCAAACAAGCAACACGACGAAACCACCCGGCCATCAACAAGTAACACCAAACCAGTCTCCACCGGCAAGCACCCAGTGACAAACCCACTGCCCACAGACATCCTCCACCAACACAGCTTCACCAACACAGCTTCCACAAACAACCCAACTAGTTCCACCGACAAACCACCAGCGATAAACTAAGAATCAAACTACCCAGAACCCAACCCAGCGACAGCCTAGCCAACATCAGCAGCAACCCACAAACAACACTAAATCAGCCTGCCACCAGATCACCGACAGCCACAAACCACCTAAACTAAACCAAGAATCAAACCACCCAGAACCCAACCCACCGACAGCCTAGCCAACATCAGCAGCAACCCACAAACAACACCAAATCAGCCTGCCACCAGACCACCGACAGCCAAAAACCACCTAAACCAACTACACCATATAAACCACCAACCAACATAAACCACCGACAGCCCAATAAACCAACTCCATCAGCGAGACAGCCCAATAAACCAACGAACCCAGCAAAATCAGTAACCCAACACAACTCAAAAAACCTAGGCTGCTATAACTCCAACACTTCTGCTCATCCTCTTTCACTCTTATCCTCCTCCATTTTTTCCTTATCCTTATCCTTATCCTTCTCCTCCTACTCCTAGGGAATGCTAGCTGTAAGGGGAGTTCAAATTTGTGGCCTTTCATAAAGCTCAGCAACTAGAAGGGGCTATTACGTTATCTTCCAATCAGGAGGCATCACCTCTGAGCAAATTGACGAGTCTTGATCTTTCGAGTGACTTCTCTTCTCTCTAACTTTTCCTCTTGCTTTTCTTCCTTCTCCCTCTCCTTCTCCTCTTGCCAATCCTCCTTCCTCAATCTATTCCTCTTCCCTTCTTTTTCCAATCGATTTTCCTCTTGCTCCTTCTTCTCATCCTTTTCCTTCTCCTCCCTCATTCGTCTTCTTCCTCCTCTTCTAGTTCTTCTTCTGCCTCTCTTCCTCCTTTTTCCCCTGCATTTCCTCTTGCTTCTCATCCTCCTCTTTCTCCATCTCCCTCTCATTCCTTATGTTTCTTCTCCTTCTCCTCTTGCTACTCCTCCTTATTCTTCTTGTTCTTGTTCTTCCTCATTCTTCTCCTTCTCCTCATCCTTCTCTTTCTCCTCTCTCCTTCCTGTTACTTTTTCTCCTCCCTTCTTTTTCTAGCCGATTTGCCTTTTTATCCTTCTCTCCCTGCTCTCCTGTTTTCCCTCATTCTTCTTTTTCTTCTTCTGCTTCCTCATTTTCTATTTCTCCTTCTCCTTCAGCTTCTACATCTCTTCCTCCTTCTTCCCTTGCTTTTCTTCTTCTTTCTCCTCCTCCTCATTTCTCTTCTTTTTCTCCTCCCCCTCCCCCTCTTTCTTTAGTCTTATCCTCCTCCTTTTTCTCCTTATTTTCTTCTCTTCCTAGGGAATGTTAGCTTTAAGGGGAGTTCAAATATATGGCCTTTCATAAAGCTCAGCAACTAAAAGGGGCTATTTACGTTACCTCCCAATCAAGAGGCATCACCTCCGAGCAAATTGACGGGTCTTGATCTTTCGAGTGACTTCTCTTCTCTCCTTCTCATTCTTCACCTACTTTTCCTCTTTCTCCCTCTTCTTTTCCTCTTGCCACTGTTCCTCCTTCTTCAATCTTCTCCTCATCCTTTTCTTTCTCGTCTCTCTTTCTAGTCGCTTTTCCTCTTTCTCCTTTTTCTCCTCTTTTTCCTTTTCCTCCCTCATTCTTCTTCTATTTCTCCTTCCTCCTCTTCTATTTCTCCTTCCTCCATCTTCTGCATCTCTTCATCCTTCCCCCCTACTTTTCCTCTCTCACTTCTCATCCTCCTTCTCCTTCTCTACTTGCTACTCCTACTTCTTGTTCTTGTTCTTCTTCAGTCTCCTCCTCCTCCTCCTCATCCTTCTTTTTTTCCTCTTTTCCTGTCGTTTTTCCTCCTTTTTTTCAGCCAATTTCTCTCTTTCTCCTTCTCTCCCCGTTCTCCAGCTCCTTCTCAGCTCTCATTCGTCTTTTTTTTCCTTTCTTCCTCCTCTTCTATTTCTCCTTTTCCTTCATCTTCTACATCTTTTCCTCCTTCACTTGTTTTTCCTCTTGCTTCTCCTTCTCTTTCATCTACTCATCCTCCTTCACTCTTATCCTCCTCCATTTTCTCCTTATCCTTCTCCTCCTCGTAGGGAATGCTAGGTGTAAGGGGAGTTCAAATTTGTGGCCTTTCATAAAGCTCAGCAACTAGAAGGGGCTATTACGTTATCTTCCAATCAGAAGGCATCACCTCCAAGCAAATTGACGAGTCTTGATCTTTCGAGTGACTTCTCTTCTCTCCTTTTTCTCCTACTTTTCCTCTTGCTTTTCTGCCTTTTCCCTCTTCTTCTCCTCTTGCCACTCCTCCTTCCTCAATCTACTCCTCTTCCCTTCTTTTTCCTGTCGATTTTCTTGTTTCTCCTTTTTGTTCTCATCCTTCTTCTTCCTCATCTTCTAGTTCTTCTGCATCTCTTCCTCCTTTTTCCCATGCATTTCCTCTTGCTTTTCATCCTCCTCTTTCTCCATCTCCTTCTCATTCCTTATGTTTCTTCTCCTTCTCCTCTTGCTACTCCTTATTCTTCTTGTTCTTGTTCTTCCTCACTCTTCTCCTTCTCCTCCTCGTCCTTCCCTTTCTCCTCTCTCCTTGTCGCTTTTTCTCCTCCCTTCTTTTTCCAGCCGATTTGCCTTTTATCCTTCTCTCCGTGCTCTCTTGCTTTTCCCTCATTCTTCTTCTTCTTCCTCCTTTTCTATTTCTCCTTCTCCTTCATCTTCTACATCTCTTCCTCCTTCTTCCCTTAGTTTTCCTCTTCTTTCTCCTCCACCTCCTCATTTCTCTTCTTTTTCTCCTCCTTCTCCCCCTTTTTCTTCAGTCTTATCCTCCTCCTTTTTATCCTTATTTTCTTCGCCTCCTAGGGAATGTTAGCTTTAAGGGGAGTTCAAATTTATGGCATTTCATAAAGCTCAGTAACTAAAAAGGGCTATTTACGTTACCTCCCAATCAAGAGGCATCACCTCCGAGTATAATGACGGGTCTTGATCTTTCGAGTGACTTCTCTTCTCTCCTCGTTCTTCACCCACTTTTCCTCTTACTTCTCTTTCTCCCTCTTCTTTTCCTCTTGCCACTGTTCCTCCTTCAATCTTCTCGTCCTCATCCTTCTCTTTCTCGTCTCTCTTTCCTGTCGCTTTTCCTTTTTCTCCTTCTTTTTCCTTTTCCTCCCTCATTCTTCTTCTTTTTCTTCCTCCTCCTCTATTTCTCCTTCCTCCATCTTCTACATCTCTTCATCCTCCCCCTTCTTTTTCTCTCTTACTTCTCATCCTCCTCTTGCTACTCCTACTTCTTGTTCTTGTTCTTTTTCAGTCTCCTCATCCCTTTTTTTACTCTCCTTCCTGTCGTTTTTCCTCCTTTTTTCTAGCCGATTTCTCTCTTTCTCCTTCTCTCCCCATTCTGCTGCTCCTTCTCCACCCTCATTCTTCTTTTTTTTTTCCTTCTTCGTCCTCTTTTATTTCTCCTTTTCCTTCATCTTCTACATCTCTTCCTCCTTCATTTGTCTTTCCTCTTGCTTCTCCATCTCTTTCTTCTTCTCATCCTCTTTCACTCTTATCCTCCTCCATTTTCTCTTTATCCTTCTCCTCGTCCTATTCCTAGGGAATGCTAGCTGTAAGGGGAGTTCAAATTTTTGGCCTTTCATGAAGCTCAGCAACTAGAAGGGGCTATTACGTTATCTTCCAATCAGGAGGCATCACCTCCGAGCAAATTGATGAGTCTTGATCTTTCGAGTGACTTCTCTTCTCTCATTTTTCTCCTGTTTTTCTTCCTTCTCCCTCTCCTTCTCCTCTTGTCACTCCTCCTTCCTCAATCTACTCCTCTTCCCTCCTTTTTCCTGTTGATTTTCCTATTTCTCCTTCTTCTTCTTCTCATCCTTTTCCTTCTCCTCCCTCATTCTTCTTATTCCTCCTCTTCTAGTTCTTCTGCATCTCTCCCTCCTTTTTCCCCTGCATTTCCTCTTGCTTCTTATCCTCCTCTTTCTCCATCTCCCTCTCATTCGTTGTTTCTTCTCCTTCTCCTCTTGCTCCTCCTTATTCTTCTTGTTCTTGTTCTTCCTCATTCTTCTCCTTCTCCTCGTCCTTCTCTTTCTCCTCTCTCCTTCCTGTCGCTTTTTCTCCTCCCTTCTTTTTCCTGCCGATTTGCATTTTTATCCTTTTCTCCGTGCTCTTCTGTTTTTCCCTCATTTCTTCTTTTCTTCTTCTTCCTCCTTTTGTATTTCTCCTTCTCCTTCTTCTTCTACATCTCTTCCTCTTTCTTCCCTTACTTTTCCTCTTCTTTCTCCTCCTCCTCCCCCTCTTTCTTCAGTCTTATCCTCCTACTTTTTATCCTTATTTTCTTCTCCTCCTAGGAAAAATTAGCTTTAAGGGGAGTTCAAATATATGGCCTTTCATAAAGCTCAACAACTAAAAGGGGCTATTTATGTTACCTCCCAATCAAGAGGCATCACCTCTGGGCAAATTGACTGGTCTTGATCTTTCGAGTGACTTCTCTTCTCTCTCTCCTCCTTTTTCACCAACTTTTCCTCTTACTTCTCTCTTTCTCCCTCTTCTTTTCCTCTTGCCACTGTTCCTCCTTCAATCTTCTCCTCCTCATCTTTCTCTTTCTCATCTCTTTTTCCCGTCGCTTTTTATCTTTTCTTTTTCTTCTTTTTTTCCTTTACCTCCCTCATTCTTCTTCTTCCTCCTCTTCTATTTCTCCTTCCTCCTTCATGTTCTGCATCTCTCTCTCCTCCCCCTGCTTTTCCTCTCACTTCTCATCCTTTTTCTCCTTCTCCTTCTTCTTGTTCTTCTTTAGTCTCCTCCTCATCCTTTTTTTTTCTCTCTTCCTGTCTTTTTTTTCAGCCGATTTCTCTCTTTCTCATTCTCTCCCTGTTCTCCTGCTCCTTCTCCACCCTCATTCTTCTTTTTTTCCCCTTGTTCCTCCTTCTTCACTTGTTTTTCCTCTTGCTTCTCCTTCTCTTTCTTTTGCTCATCCTCCTTCACTCTAATCCTCCTCCATTTTCTCCTTATCCTTCTTCTCATCCTACTCCTAGGGAATGCTAGCTGTAAGGAGAGTTCAAATTTCTGGCCTTTCATAAAGCTCAGCAACTAGAAGGGGCTATTACGTTATCTTCCAATCAGGAGGCATCACCTCCGAGCAAATTGACGAGTCTTGATCTTTCAAGTGACTTCTGTTCTCTCCTTTTTCTCCTGCTTTTCCTCTTACTTTTCTTCCGTCTCCCTCACCTCCTCTTGCCACTCCTCCTTCCTCAATCTACTCATCTTCCTTCCTTTTTTCCATCGATTTTCCTGTTTCTCCTTCTTCTTCTCATCCTTTTCCTTTTCCTTCTCTTCCCTCATTCTTCTTCTTCCTCCTCTTCTAGTTCTTCTTCTGCATCTCTTACTCCTTGTTCCCTTCCATTTCCTCTTGCTTCTCATCCTCCTCCTCTTTCTCCTTCTCCCTCTCATTCCTTATGTGTTTCTTCTCTTTCTCCTCTTGCTACTCCTCCTTATTCTTCTTGTTCTTGTTCTTCCTCATTCTTCTCCTTCTCCTCCTCCTCATCCTTCACTTTCTCCTCTTTCCTTTTTGTCACTTTTTCTCCTCCCTTCTTTTTCCAGCCGATTTGCCTTTTTATCCTTCTCTCTGTGCTCTCCTACTTTTCCCTCATTCTTCTTCTTCTTCCTCCTTTTCTATTTCTCCTTCTCCTTCATCTTCTACATCTCTTCCTCTTCTTTTCTCCTCCTCCTCCTCCTCCTTTCTTTAGTCTTATCCTCCTCCTTTTTCTCCTTATTTTCTTCGCCTCCTAGGGAATGTTAGCTTTAAGGGCAGTTCAAATTTATGGCCTTTCATAAAGCTCAGCAACTAGAAGGGGCTATTATGTTACCTTCCAGTCAAGAGGCATCACTTCCTAGCAAATTGACGAGTCTTGATCGTTTGAGTGACTTCTCTTCTCTCCTTCTCCTTCTCCATCTCCTTCTTCATCTACTTTTCCTCTTGCTTCTCCTCTTTCTCCCTCTCCTCTTCTTGCCACTCTTCCTCCATCTCCTCCTCCTCATCCTTCTCTTTCTCATCTCTCCTTCCTGTCGCTTTCCCGCCTCCCTCTTTTTCCTGTCCATTTTTCTCTTTCTCCTTCTTATCATCCTTTTCCTTCTCCTCCCTCATTCTTCTTCCTCCTCTTCTAGTTTTTCTTTTGCATCTCTTCCTCCTTCCCATGCTTTTCCCTCTTATTTTTCATCCTCCTCTTTCTCCTTCTCCCTCTCCTTCCTTTTGTTTCTTCTTCTTCTCCTCTTCCTATTTCTCCTTATTCTTTCTCATTATTCTCCTTTTCCTCCTCCTCCTCTTCATCCTCATCCCACCTTTTTTTCTCATTTCTCCTTCCAGTTGTTTTTCCTCCCTTCTTTTTCCAGCCGATTTTCCTTTTTCTCCTTCTCTCCGCGTTCTCTGTGCTTTCTTGCTCCTACTCCCCCCTCATTCTTTTTTTCTTCTTCTTCCTCCTCTTCTATTTTCTCTTTTTCCTTCATCTTCTACATCTCTTTCTCTTTCTTCCCTTACTTTTTCTCTTCCTTCTCCTTCTCCTTCTCCTTTTCCTCCTCCCCATCTTTCTTCACTCTTATCCTCCTTTTTTTCCTTATTTTCTTCGTTTCCTAGGGAATGTTAGCTTTAAGGGAAATTCAAATTCATGGCCTTTCATAAAACTCAGCAACTAAAAGGGGATATTACATTACCTTCTAGTCAAGAGGCATCACCTTCGCGCAAATTGATGGGTCTTGATCTTTCGAGTGACTTCTCTTCTCTCCTCCTTCTTCACCTACTTTTCCTCTTGCTTCTCTTTCTCCTTCTCTTTCTCCTCTTGCCACTCTTCCTCCTGCTTCTTCAATCTTCTCCTCCTTTTCCTCTTTCTCGTCTCTCCTACCCGTCGCTTTCCCGCCTCCCTCCTTTTGCCAGTCGATTTTCCTCTTTCTCCTTTTTCTCCTTTTTTTTCCTTCTCCTCCCTCATTCTTCTTCTTCTTCCTCGTCTTCTAGTTCTTCTTTTGCATCTCTTCCTCCTTCTTCTCCTGCTTTTCCTCTTGCTTCTCATCCTCATCCTCCTCTTTCTCCTTCTTCCTCTCCTTTTTCTTCTCCTTCTTCTCTTGCTACTCCTCCTTATTCTTCTTGTTCTTGTTCTTCTTCATTTTTCTCCTCTCTCCTTGTCGCTTTTCCGCCGTCTTTTTCCAGCTGATTTTCCTTTTTCTCTTTCTCTCTGCGCTCTCGTACTCCTACTCCTCCCTCCTCCCTCATTCATCTTCTTCTTCCTTTTTTATTTCTCCTTCTCCTTCATCTTCTACATCTTTTCATCTTTCTTCCCTTACTTTTCCTCTTCCTTCTCCTCATTTCTCTACTTTTTCTCCTCCCCTCCCCTTCTTTCTTCGCTCTTATCCTCCCTTTTCTCCTTATTTTCTTCGCCTCCTAAGGAATGTTAGCTTTAAGGGGAGTTCAAATTTATGGCCTTTTATAAAGCTCAGCAACTAAAAGGGGCTATTTACATTACCTTCCAATCAAGAGGCATCACCTCTGAGCAAATTGACTGGTCTTGATCTTTCGAGTGACTTCTCTTCTCTCCTTCTCCTTCACCTACTTTTCCTCTTACTTCTCTTTCTCCCTCTTCTTTTCCTCTTGCCACTGTTCCTCCTTCTTCAATCTTCTCCTCATCTTTCTCTTTCTCGTCTCTCTTTCTTATCGCTTTTCCTCTTTCTCCTTTTTCTCCTCTTTTTCCATTTTCTCCCTCATTCTTCTATTTCTCCTTCTAATTCATCTTCTGCATCTCTTCCACCTTCTTGCCCTATTTTTCCTTTTGCTTCTCCTTCTCCTTCTCCATCCTTTTGTGTTTTCTCATTCTCCTTTTTTTTCCTTTTCCTTCTCTTTCTTCTTCTCCTCACTCTTCTCCTCCTCTTTTTTCTCCTTCTTCTCATTGCCTTTATTCTTCTTCTCCTCCTAGGGAATCTTAGCTTCAAGGGGAGTTCAAATTTGTGGCCTTTCATAAAGTTCAGCAACTAGGAGATATTATGTTATATTCCTGTCTTGGAGCACTTTGGACCTGGGGCGGAGCCAAAAATTTTGCTTAGTTGGAGCAACCTAAACTGTATGAATATTAAAATTACTAATGTTCACAAAAGTATAATTTCATTAATAGAACGTCAATTAAAGTAACAACTCATATATATGAGCACTAAACAAAAAGTGTCAACAAAAAAAATTCACTATAAATTTATCTATAATCACCTACCAAAAAAATTTAAACCAAAAAATTTGGTTCAATCATATATAGTTGAATTTTAACAATCAATCGAAACAAACATAAACTATAACTGTTCTATTAGACTAAACTTTGGTATAAGAATTATTTAACCAATCACAATAAAACTATTCAAAACACCAAAGCAATATAATTTAATCTAACCCATAATGGAGGCATTTAGCCTTTTAAAGGAATTTTTTTGACATTTATAAGTGACCCGTATATTTGTCAAAATATCATAACTGCATATAAATCTTTTAAAAAAAATTTAGTGGGGGCAAATTTCTAATAAATTTTAAAACTTTTAAAATTATACTTATGCCCTAAAAATTTTAAAATTCCAATGGGGGCAACTGCCCCCATTATGGATCCGCCACTGCTTTGGACTTACGAGTCTCCGTTGAATCGTCAAAGCAAGCCTGTAAGTTCGTCTCAAACCCAAGAAATACATAGTTTCTAATTTAATCTATCATTGCACCAGTTTCCCTTTCTCCTTCTCTCTATAGGTATCTATGTGTGTATATGTTTGTATACACCCTGTAAATTTATGGATTATGGAATCATTGCTCTTTTTCTATGTGATTTTATTTTATTTCCGTTTCTCGCAAGTCATCGATGTTCCTTAGAGACGCCAGAAATTTTGATCTTTCGAGCGACTTCTCTTCTCTCCTTCACCAGCCTCATGCTCCTCCTCGCTCTCCTCTTCTTTTCCTTCTGTTTCTTCTCCTTCTCCTCTTTCTTCATCATTCTTCTCCTCCTCTCTCCTTCGTATCATTTTTCCTCCTCCCTCCTTTTTCCTGCCGATTTTCCTATTTCTTCTTCTTCTCTAGTTTCTCCTTTCCTCATTCTTCTTCCTTCACTCTTATCCTCCTCATTTTTCTCCTTCTCCTTCTCATTCTTCTCCTCCTCCTAGGGAATCTTAGCTTCAAAGGGAGTTCAAATTTGTAGCCTTTCATAAAGCTCAACAACTAAAAAAGGATATTACATTATCTTCCAGTAGAGACATCAACTCCGAGCAAATTGACGGGTCTTAAGGGTATTTAGGGCTTATGAGTCTCTGTTGAATTGTCAAAGCAAGCATAAGGGTATTTAGGGTTTATGAGTCTTCGTTCATCACAAACCCAAGAAATACTTAGTTCCGAATGTGATCTCCCATTGCACAATTTTGCCTTTCTCCCTCTCTAAATCTCTCTCTATAAGTATATATATATCTATACACACCGTAAATTTATGGTTTTATGGAGTCATTGTTTTTTTATGTGATTCTATTTTAGTTTCCATTCCTCTCAAGTCACCAATGTTCTTTAGAGTCGCCATAAAGTTTGATCTTTCGAGTGACTTCTCCTTCTTCACCTTTTTTCCTCTTGCTTATCCTCCTCCGCCTCTTTCTCCTTTGCCCTCTACTTCCTTCTCCTCTTGTTCCTCCTCATCCTTCCCTTTCTCCTCTCCTTTCTGTCACTTTTTCTCCCTTTTTTTCTGCCAATTTTTCTCTTACAGAATTTAATATCAATAGGAAATACTACAAATTTAAGACATCAAAAGGACATTCTTACAAAGAAATTTAAATACATGAGCATATTGTATATTACCACGTACATCAAAATCATCAATGTCTTCAATGGATGTGAAATTCGAAGTATCACAAACAATATACTTAAATTTGGTAGCGATATGAAATAAAATCACCACCCAATTTTTGACTCTAAAATCTCAAAAAAATTTCTTTCTATATATTTTTTTCTTCTTCCTCTCTTTCTCTTCCTTCCTCCATCATTTTTTTCTCCTTTCTTGTCTGCATTTTGCTTGACAGCACCATGGCTATTTATAGCCAAACTTCCACCCAACCTCACATGGTGAGGCTAGGAAGCTTGCATCATTATGGACAGATATTCATTCTTTGTCCATGCATGTTATTTCTCAATTATAATTTTTATTGCGGTAATTAGAGCTCTGACTCTATATTTGGTGATATATATTGTGGTTGATTTAATCAATTAACGTATCCGGGAAACTGGGGTGTTACATTTTTTTCTTCTCCTGGGAAATCTTAGCTTCAAGGGTGTGACCTTTCATAAAGCTCAGTAGCTGGTGGGGGATATTACATTATCTTCCAGTCAAGAGCCATCACCTTCGAGCAAATTGATGAGTCTAGGGGAACTTAGGGCTTATGAGTTTCCGTTGAATTGTCAGAGC